CACCTGCTCCTTTAGAGTTGAGTCATTAAATGAAGGGGAAGACATCTCTGCGTCACCGTGTCCATTCTTGCACGTACACATTAGTGATATACAGTATGTACAATGTATACAGGTACATGTACATGTATATACACATCCACAAACTCGTGTGGATTGGTTATTGGTATTCAGCATTTTCCAAGTCATATTCACCATTATTAGTTCTCTGGTCAATTTCCGATTTATCTAACTGTTTGAAAAATTCAATAGATCTATCCTTTTTTCCTTTTTTACTTCATTCCATTGCTCACAGAAATAGTCTGCGACATTCCCATGGGGGAGATGGAGTAGCTTTTCTTGGATTGAAGCTGCTAATGATGCTTTAGTTACAGATCTGGACTGAACAGCTATTTCATCATCAATGACAATAACGTACAGGAGAGCACTAGGTTTACACTTGCTGTTCTTGAGAGAATTGGTGTAGATGTGCTTATTTTTTGGGCCTATGGCGGTGACATCTAACAGGTTGTCTCTCAGCTTTTACCAGAGAGAGATTGGGGTGGACAGTTTACATGTGGGTCAACAATCTTTGATTTTTCTAATTAGACATCGGCATTTTCTGATTTCTTCATCATAGCTGCGGTGTTTTGAAGACATTCTAGATGAAGGGTCAGAAATCCCCATTCTTGACAATGTCGACGCTCAGATTTTCTCTAGTTCATGATAGTTACGGAATGCGAACATCCAGTCATCTGCATTTGGAACACCATTGGCCAATATGGCTTTTACCTTCTTGTTCACATTTTCCAAAACAAAATCTAACCCTTTACCACTGCTGGGATTTCCTGTGATTGAGAATGACTCAATTTCAGTAACCAAGCGTTTGACATCATCTTCATATGTATCTGTCACAAATATGTACATGTATTTGCTGGTACTTTGGATGATTTCTTGAAAACCCAGAGGTGAGAATTTTTCTTTGCCAGCTATGACCAAGTGATGCTTGTTTTCTTGCAGCCCTACTCGGAAGTTAACAATTGCTTGGATGTACACAGATATTTGTTCATAGATGAACTTGTAGTTGGTTGGGGTTTTTGACGTTGTTCATTGCAAAACCAAAGTACCCATTCACAGTGCATGGTTCATGCAATTTGAGACACTTCTTGACGTAGGGTCGCAGCAATTCATCAGCAAATGCATCTCTTGCTATGCATACAAGGTCCCAGGTCTTGTGGTTGTCACTGCACATTTTTACGTATCTCTGAGCATTGGCACTTCTAAACCCAAGCTCTTTGGCGATGTCGGCCATAAACGGCTCAAAGTTAAGTTCTATGAAAGCTTTTTTCATGTTCATTTCAAAATGTTTATGACCGATCCACAAAACAACTCAGTCAAACTCTCTGCCAAGAAAGCTATCATCACCATGATGAACAATGGTTTGCTGCGATGTCTTCACCATACATGGAAATTTGACATACCTTGCAAGTGAATGTTGCTTGAACAACATTATATGCCATAGAAAAGGGCAGTCCATCCATAGCTACAAAAGTCCATTTTCTTTTTCCTGACCCATACTTGTTGATACCAGCACATCTTCCCATGTGTCTCAGCACTTCAGTAATTGACTCATAAGAATTGGGACTGACAAAAACTGGGTCAACAACATGAAGTTTTGGTTCTGTTGTACATGAACTTTTATTTTCTGGTTGGTCATCTACACTTTTGCTTTTTTGGTATTTATACCTTTCTGGCTCAACCCGAAATGAGTATCGACGTTTGGTGTTTCTTCTCCGTCGAGAGAAGAGTTCTCCATGATTGACAGATTTCTTTAGGCTTTTGGCTCCACAGTTCCGACATCTTGATTTCTCCTTTTATCCCCTCACAAGTGTTCTCCTCTATTTTTTGCTCGTCTCCACACTTTGAGCATAATTTTAGCTCAAATGTTGGGCTTCTTAACTCTTCGTCTAAAGGATCAGTCCAGCCTTGCACTGATGGCTTTTGTTGTTGTTCAACAACCTCCAGACGAAGTTGTATGTATTTTTTCAGTTCATGACTGGCAGTGTGTGAGCATTCATGCTGAAATACATCAGAGTGGACATGATCCAAACCAATCATCTCTAAATTTGGCTGAAAACGATGAAGGGAGCAGCCATTTTTCCTGCTTTCTTGAGTTACGAAGTCTCATTCCAGTGACACTAGTCACGATGCTGGTTGGAACTTTGCAATTTGCATATACCCTCCATGTTTTTCCTACAACCTGCTCATTATCTGTTGCAATAAACAAATCTCCCTCATCAGGAAAGACCATAGGACCTTCTTTTGCTCAAGACTTTAACCAATTAAGTATCGTTGTCATTCCTCATCCTGCACTCGAGGAACTGCTCATGTTGACAGCAGCTTTACTTGCTGTCACGGAATATAATGTGATGTTCTCAGCAAAAGACGGTGGTGAAACAAACTTGGAATATCTGGATTTGTAGATTGAATCTACTGCCTTTGCCTGGGCGTACCAATATGTTTGTTGAACTATCATAACTTCCTTGACTGCTGAATTCTGTAGCACCTTCTTTGAAGCTCTTGATAACTGGATTGCGCTCAGACAGCCACGTTTTTGCAGACTGATCCATTAGCTTATCCGGATGTTGGTATCTTGCTGATGTTGATATGGCATTATCGTACGTCGCACTTGAAATAGATTTATCAAGAGCCTCGGCCAACTTCACTTTAAGTTTAGTCGGTAAAGACTTAACAACAGATGTGAAACAAGATTCATTTTCACTGGTACTGTGGAAGCTGCATGTGGCTACATGTACATCTGAAGTTGGCTCTTGGGATGGTGACACTGTACCAGTGCTGCAATGTGTGACTTTTTCAAGATTCTCGGTGCTTGACTGTGATGTTCCCCACGCAAACTTATTTGAGGATTAGTATAGATTAGTATTTTTGAGCAGTAGTATTCGCTTACATTTTGTTTCTGAAAGCTTTCTAAACCATGATGAAAGGACTGGACGGAATTAATTGTTATTAAGGGCTATATGTTTGGTAAATTAAGGTACTAACCAAGCAGGGCAGAATAGGCTGTATAGGATGTTTATTCTTAATCAGGGTTATTTTCAAATTTTCTTTAATTCATTCGGTTTTTCCGAAATATTCCTGAACTAACTCCACAGGGCATTCATTACTGTTAAATCAAGTGTTACACATTTTATGAGTTTTATTGTCAAGGATACGAAACACATATTTGAATTTGATTTGCGATATCCAAACTATGCCTTAACTGTCTCCACACGGCATTCATTACCTTAACTGATTCCAAAGGGCATTCATTACCAGTCAAAGTACTGCTTTACTGAATTTGATATTTTTGGAAACATGCACCAACTGACTACTGCACAAACGGAATCTGCAGGACAGTTGTTTTTTTTTATCAAAGGTTATTTAAATTACATTTTCTTTATTTCGTTTGATTCCTTCTGCATATGCCTGAATTGACATCATTGGACTTTACTTATCCTTAGTTATATGCACAATCCCTGAATTTCGATTTTTCTAACATGCATAGTGAATCAGAGGGGCATTCATTACCATCAAGTGCCTATTTCTTTAAACAAATGGTGGAAAGTAAGCATTTACTTACCACATCTTCTTTCCATCATGACAAAAGTAATACATGAGGCACCTTTCTTCTGCTGAATAACAGGTGCTATGCTTGATTGCAGTGTCATAAGTTATTAGCTCACCAGTGCACTTGAGAAGACCATCACCCTTGCAGAAATGTTTCTTAGCAATGACACCTCTTCCTGTGAAATGAAGCCAAAGTGCATGCATTCATTTGCAAAGCTTTGTTTAAAGGCCATAACAAAATCATTGGATAAAGCATAACATACTGTATATACTGACAGAATACAGCATATTGACCTCTACATCAATTCTGCTCAAGTCATTGACTTGGACTTAAGTCACAAATTACTTGAGCAAGTTTCATGTACACTGTATCACATACCATTTTCTTCATTGATCACAGCTACCTCCAAGCCATCTTTATCCTTATGGAAAATCTCATCTGCCTGTTCTTTGGGTGTCTAAAATAAAAATACAATTCATCAGTAGTCAATCAAATGAGCAAGGCTTTCTTTAGGTTCTGTGTTTATAGGTTTTCATCATTGTTGCAATAAGTACATGTACATTTTAACAATAAATGTGTTGATGCCCTTTTTATTTTGAACTCCCCTCCCCTAGCTAAGGTAATTCAGTTTATTAACTTGTACAAATATGTTAGGAGGCACGTCTGTCCAGGAACTCAAAATGTGAGTGCCAGCGTTCATTTTAAATTTAAATAAATGATGTTTGCGGGATTGTGGTAGAAAGTTACTGACGTACATTTACATATATCAGATGCGCGTTTGTAACAAAACAGAAGATTGCATTTGGCTCCAGAGGAAAGAAAGTACACCGACGCCTGTTTGCAGGTTCCCTCGGCTGGCCACCACCACCGCCGAGTTTTATTACTTTTCGGAACTTTCTGAACAATTACATGAACTAAAAGAACACATGTTTTCTTACATGTCAAATCCTTAAAACAAGAGGACTACCGGTAGGTGTCGGAAACAAGCCAAAATCATTTTGCCAAAAATTATCCACAAAATCCGTATAAGGCACGCCACAACTATTGCTGGGATTATACAACCACAAGTAAAAGAGCCTATATAATCAAGGTTTTAATCGAACTTGTATCAGCCTTGCACCCTGGGGCACGTGGTGGAAAGAAACGCCAGCCCCGCCCATGGAGGAGTCCACAGGGGTCGTTCCCCCAGGGATGCCCTGCCTATTTGTTTTCCTCGCAAGATACGCGAGACCAACCCCGGGAAGGTGTCCCAAGGCCTGAGAATGGAATTTTTTGCTCGTTTTACTGACATCTCTCACCAAACAAGTTCCTAATGCAGGAACTTGACTCAACCCCCCCCCCCTTTTTTTTTCTTTGAGCGAAGGAGCTTACTTAGAGCTATTTGATGGATAGAAAAGGGCCTCAGGGTACAAAGCAAAGAATGCCAAGGCATTGTGCAAGTTCTTCTGGGACAGCACATTGCCGGTCGACAACAGGTGAAGGTCGACAACAGGTGAAGGCCATCACGGTAATATAGAGAGTGTTGCGAAGGATTAATATTGTGAGAATGCACAATGGCATGGGCATTTCCCAAATTGCTACAGAGTATCTTTTTATCTGACCCTGTGAAAAATTATAAGAGACAAATAGCAAAATTACATAAATTCAACATTGATTTGTTTCCATTTAAGTGGGGTAATGCTGCTGCTCGGTCAGAAGCAGTGTTTCATTGGTAGGGGGGATTGTGTAAAATGACAAAATATGCCAATGAATGCACTTTTGTAACAGTTAACAAAACTGGCTTGGATCTAATGGGCAACCCAATTCTCATTTCTTTTCTGGAATTCATTCAGATGTATAACTGTGTCCCATAAAGTAGGCATTCTACTTGTTGGATGTTCTCATCCTGTGATAAATTATTTCATTCTTCTCGTTTAAGGAAGTCGCTGCTTAAGATAAGGTTTTTTTTTATTCCGACACAAAAAAAAGTGCATACATACAGTAAAGTGCAAAAAGATATTGATAAAGTACATGTATGAAGTCTTGCAAACAGCAGTGTAGCTGGGATATGAAAACCTGGGAATTTCACATGCTGATACATGTAATTTTTTGCTTTGGAAGCGCTTGTGTGTGTTTTAATCAATTTATATCAGTTCAGATAACAGCAATTCAAATGTCCCTAAAAATTGTCCTTTTCCTGGTCATAAGGCTGCATTTGCTAAAATGCGTGTAAAAGTGGTGACAAAACAACAAATGAATGGCAATGCTGGCCAGTAGGCTGAGCACCGTCTAGCAATCAGAAACAACAGTTCAACATCAATCTCCGTGTACAGTTTTAATGAACATTTAAGAAACGGACTCTCTAACTGAAAATGCAATTTAATGCTTAATGGGCTGGTGTGCATCTGAGGTGTTTATCTTTTTTTCTTGTTAGTTTAAAACATTATTAGATCAACTGCACCAAACCTTTATTATTAAATGAAGCAATTGTCCAAAATAGAATGCAGACAGCTAACAAGAAAAGTACCAACAATTCACCATATCAGTGGCTCCTTGTCATTTTGGCATGCTTATGATCAGGCCACATGAATCTGACAAAAAAGAAAAACCAGATTTTTTTAAAAAGATATTTATGACTGATGTATCAATTACGGCCATTGCCTAAGGTCTAAGGAAGGACTACATGCACATTAATTACATGTATTTTTGCATAGGTTTAATGGTCTTTGCTGAGTTGTCAAGTATTTGTTAGGGAGAAGTCTTCAAGTAGAGCTACAGAAAAACAGGGCTAAACACATCTTGTGCGTATCTCATATAAAAACATTTGGAAGTATATTTGAGCATTTTTTGTAACTGGTTTGTGCACACAATAAAATAAAAAGGTGCACGTAGGCCTATGTGTAAGTCTGACCTGAAGTTACCCAACATACATGTAGGCCTATGTATAATTGTTAGAACAATCAGTTCATCTACTTTACGTACAAAACCATGGTTAACATGGTCAAGGAATAGGATCCAAAATTGACCACCTCATCTCTGTCCAAGACCTAATGTTGCATTGATCAGTTTGATAAAGGGCTAATTAAACTTGCTACATGTACTTACTCGATGTACCACACGAGGCAGACATTTCCGCATGATAATAAATGTAACAAAAGAAATCTCCAAATCATCATACAAAAGAGCCCAATGATCATTTAGGCCTATGTAAACTCAGTACTGAAGACTAATGTTAAATTCCTTACAAAGCTGAACAATAGAATTCATGACACAGAACTGTTCTGTAACAAAATAGCACATGCCTGGCATTTTGCAAAAGGTTTTGGAGCACAAGGCCTACCTAAACAAACCCAGATGTGTTGATTTTTACTTACCTGAAGAGAACGCCTACTGCAAAAGATGGTGCCTCACACTAGCATGCCATGCCCAAAGTTTCCTTGGGGAGACTTTCCAAGAATGAAACAAGCATTCTGATTGGTGGAAAGTTACTGTGTGATTTTTCATGAAGAGCACCCCCATCAGGTTGGAACATTTTAGTTGCACACTCACACATCAAGTCTCCACTGAGAATCTGAGTGGAGACTTTTTAAAAATCAGTGGAATAGACTTCAACCATTCTTTTGATACAATTTGTTAGTTTTCCTTATGGAACAAAAATTTGGGTCTCCAAGAGGAACTACATGTAAGTCTCCATAAGGGTGGTTATGGACTCATACATGTCTCCACAGGGCATTGAATTTTAGAGCCCATGGGGCAAGCTCATAGTTGCCTTGTCTATAACATGGCACACTGCATTTCAAGGTACTGCTGCTTAACAATATCATGCAAATGACTTATCACATCAGGCAATTTGGATGGTTTCTAGTTAGTATCAAGCTTCATTATGTGATTCATTGCTTCATAGGTATTGTTCTTCCAGTTCATAGGTAGAGATTTTTTACTTAGCAACAACTAAGTCATGTAACAGTGGCACCAACCAGTTTCAAAAATATGAGGCAAATGCAGGTAACTGCACTTCATACACTGCACTAAGGTGTACCAATTCAGTTTCAAAATCAACATTTAGTGGTCCATTTGATCCGAAGATGTCATTCAGTATCCTTGATTTGCATTTTCATCCACACCAACCTTTTTTACCAAATACATGTACCTCTCACAATTATCCTGTAAATGTCTGGTTCACAAAACAAAAGTTGCATCTGGAAAGCACTGGTGTGCAGCTTTGGTCAAAGCTTTCTCTTCATCAGAGCCCAGAATTAAGTTACTAAATCCCACGTGGGTTTCACTGATACTTTTATGTATGTATGTCCAGTACGCTCTGCAGATGGGAAAAAATCTATGATAAGTAGTAGAGCTACCTCCCAGTGTAAGTTCCGGTAAACTGGTCCCAGCATAAATGGGAAGTTTGTGGTGTGGTCCTAACAAGATTAGGATGTTGAAATACAATTGAGGTCACAAAACAGGATCCTCCCAAATTAAATGTTTGATCAGTGCCTAATACAGTCTTTGATTTATCATCCTTGCAAATATTTACCAAATCTTTTACCTGCTCTTCATTATACAGTATAATTGCTGGTGATTTTCCCTTGCCCTGAATGATTTCTCGTATAATACATGTAGGACTGTTGTGAATCATATTAATGACTAACTGTACATCATCTGCGGTGTTACTTCTACTTTGACAAGGTCTTTCTTGACTTGCACGTACTCAATTCTGGCCATACTGTAGTGCAGCAAGTACATGTGCATGTTTAGCATACTGAGAGCATTGCTTGGGTGCAAATTCCTCTATTAGCATTACATACAAAATTGACATATTCAAAGCTGTCCATGTAGAAATACTGTCATAACATATTTGATTTTAAACACACCAGAAAGATTTACATGTGTGCGGATTCTTCTAGAGCAGGAACCATACTTTCAAAGACACTTGATTTAAAAATTTTCAAAATGATACTTTATTTTTAAAATGGGGTCAAAGGTCACTGACACAAGTTAAATGTCATTTTCACTCTTGATAAACAAAGCTAAATTTCCACAACATCAGTGAAAAAAGCATGTTCGTCTGATTTTTTGGATACAACATTTGCATGTATTTGATAAAAAATTAGAGGGTTATTTGTACTAAAAGGGTGGATTCATAAGTGAATACTGTCCGTTTTTGTTGATCTCTGCCCTGACAACATGGAAAGGCGGCTTCTGCTAAAAGGTGGTAACTATCTATTATTTATTCATCCACAAACTCAGCAATTTTTATCAGAATCTGAAGAGGTAAGGTCAAAAAGCGTGTTGGTATGACATAGAATGACCTTTACACCATATCTTGTCCCAAAACTAAAATAAACTTGGAGTGACCTTTGACTTTAAACAACTTACCTTTAGTAGCAGAAAGCACACAAATGTAGGTCTAGCTGCAAGGGAGAGCTTCTAAGGAGATAAACAAGGAAGCTGGAGTGAAAGAGAGGAATGTCAAAATTATTATGGCAACATCATGATTCTGAGCAAAATGTTTTACAGGTGCAGTTGTTTGTCTATGCATTCATTTTAATTGTTTTGCTTTGCTTTCAAACTCATATTGTTTATCATGAAGTTCTCAAAAATCTTCACACCTCATAAGCATTTCCATATTTCTCTATTGTATCAAGACTATTTTTGTCAATGTTACAGGAAGGTAAAATCCATGTAACAGCAGTTTGTACCTCCACACTGCATGTACATGTAAAAGAAACACCCATCGGCTAACAAGTACCTGTTTGAGTTTCTTGTCAAAAAATTCCTGTGATTTTTACATTATTCAAAACATGGACTGGTGGAACAACATGTGCCATGGTACGTATACATGTAACTCTGAAGCTTATGTTTTTCTGCTGGTGCAAATTTCTCAGGTCTTAGACAGTACTTAATGTCATTTGAGATGTTAATCGAAGGACTTGCTTAGTTGGCTTTCGGCACAGGCGCCTACAGCCTTCATCGATTGCTTTAACACATTTCTTCATCCAAAATTCTTCATACTCCATCTTTGATACACCCGCTTACTTCACCATATTTTTCACATAGCCTAACCTTATCTGATCAAGTGCATCTTTCCCCCTGACCCCCCCTACAGTTACACTTGGACATTTCCTCCTCCGAAAATAACTCTCTGACCAGTGTAAGTGCGAAGTTTGGGATTGAAGAATGCTTTTTGTACAGGCTTAGAACTTTCTCTTATGAAATAGAAGCATCCTGGTCAGATGTATCGTGATCCACCCGTTGTATAAGATGAACACCCTGCTCTGGCTCTTGTGTCTATCCAGATGTTTCCTTGTTGCCATCTAGCAAAAGCCGCAGGATGTGATTATTCTCGAGCAACAGCTGCCTGTTCCTGAAGGCCAGCTTTTGCACATCCTCCATGGCTTTGGAGCAGCATTGGAAGTTAAGCTACAAAAAAAGAAAAATACTTGCTGGTAGTAGTTGACATTAAATAAAATTTCTGAAAGAGTTCAATATAAGAAGTTCACTAATTGTCCCGTGTAGTGACCTATATTATAAGCCCCTAGAAAGTAAATTTTAAAGTCAATAAGTCAATTTTATCAGTGAGAAAATAATAGCAATTTCCTCAAAAACACAGAATTTTTCAAATCAGTCTCATAGGCTTTGTACACAGGGTGTTTAGTGAACTTCTTATGTGGAATCCTTTCCCTTTTAATGACAGTTGCGACAACACTTTGTTGCATGCTTTTACTGCATTTTGCAATTGGACCTCGATCATAAGACGTCATTGGGACTTTTCAGATTGCATTGTTCTCACGGGACCATTGTACTTGTATGATCATGAGTAAAAGACAAAGACAAAACAAATTCACAAAGACCTTTGGGCCTTCACTTTTCCTTCATCATAAGAGGTCACTGGGACTTTTCAGATTGCATTGTTCTCACGGGACCGTTGTACTTGTATGATGATGAGTGGAAGACAAAGACAAAACAAATACACAAAGACCTTTGGGCCTTCACTTTTCCTTGTTCATAAGAGATCATTGGGACTTTTCAGATTGCATTGTTCTCACAGGACCATTGTACTTGTATGATCATGAGTGGAAGACAAAGACAAAACAAATACACAAAGACCTTTGGGCCTTCACTTTTCCTTGTTTTAAAAGGGACCTCGTATTAACAATTTTTTCTCATTGAGAAACTGCTGTATTGTACACTCTTAGATACACACATTGCATAGACATTGCATGGGCAAGTGGTACCAAGATAACTTTTTCGATGAAAACTTTTCCAAGCAAGGAGGGATAGCAGATAGATTTTAATGCAAAAGTGGTTTTAATACTATGCATGTACCTCTGATGGGCTGGATGAGGGATGCAAGTGGTGCATGTCACATAGGTCAGGGGCATCCTGATCCGCAGCAGCGTGGTGGTCTGTGCCCTCCTTGTCTGCAGCAGCAATTTATATAGTAATTTATATAATTTTAGCATGTACATTGCAACATCGAAGAACTTGCTATGAACATGCTGTATATCGTACTTCTGTGTTTAAAATGCGTTATTACAAGCAATGAATCTCTTCTCCATCCCCATCCACAAGCAACTTTGCCAGTGCAGCATAACACATTATCCATTTTCGTTGGTTTGCTTTTTCATCATTTTTTTGCATGCATACCTTGTGCTATCAGTGCCATGCCATATTCAAGCTGAACATCTGGACTAACCAGTTTGGTTTGGTTGAGTTCGAAAGTGCCCTGTTCGATGATTTTTGGTTCGGTTCAGCTGCAGCACTACTTGTCCATAGATCTTTGATATACATGTAGTGGTAGGACACCTATTTTAAAACAAGACGTTTTTTCATCTATTGCTTTATTGGACTACTGCCAGATGTGTTCCTTATCAGCTTCTGACCCAGTTGCTAATTTGAATACAGCATCTTTGATGGCCACTTATATCTCACTATATAGTATTGTAACACTCCGATGGTCTACGGGTTCCACACAGAGGCAAGAAAACACACTGGGCTCAGAACTTCTGTTTATGAGGGCAAAACCTGTTTATTTCGGCAACACAGTCAAACTCGCCTGTCCGAAGACTCACAACAAAACCGATCTCTCAAGGCCGGACAAAAGAAGCCTCACTGTGCAGGCACGGCAGGGTCTCCCAGTTGGTCCAGCAAGGGCGCCAGCCACACCACCGTGGAGTCAGACTGGCGCCCCCGCCCGACCAGCCGGCCCCCGGCACCACCCTCCCTTCCCGAGGACCCTTGTTAGCCCCCGAACAAGGCGGCGGACGCCAGCAGCCGGCACAACCAGGAGACAGGTCCCCGCCGTGCCCATACAGCTCACAATGATTTTAGAGCAACCTGAAAAAAAAAACACATTGCAAGCAAAGGTTTAGAACATTGAGTTTAGAACAACAAAGGAAAACCACTACTTGGAAAATAAAGGGTGAAAGCGATGGTGGGAAGCTGTAGTCTCGATGTTCCCCTACTGGCGAGGCGGTCTCTGTGGTTGGGCAGCTCTGGAACCTCACTGGCGGGGCTGGGCACTGGGCTGCGGCTGGCACTGGACCTCCGTCTGCCGGAAAAGGGCCTCCCAGAACCCAGCCGGGACGCACTTGGGGTAACGTAGTGGTGGGGGAGCCCCGGAGACAGCTGGTCCGCCACGGAAGGATCGATAAAGAATTGGCCGTACTGCTGCCCATCGTAGGTGGTGAGCACGTGCCCGGGCACTTCATACGTGTTGGTGATCCAGGTTCTCGTCTGGCGGTGTCCAAGCTCGTCAACCCCTATTGGCATCTGCTCCAGTCTCCACTCGCTATGCAGGTGCTCGCAAAGAGGGGCGGGCATGCCCGTCCCGACATCCCAGGTAGCATCGCAGGGCTGTAGGGTTGCTGCGTCCCACAAGCACATCCGGGCCCCGTCTGGCAGTGTCACCGGTGGTACCCGGAGGCAGACGCCGATGGTTCCCACACCAATGTGGAATGGGAATGTCGGAGGACACTGGGGGTCCGTCTGCACTCAGGCTTCCTTCGGACACTGCTGGGAAGGGGACCCGGCCGTGCTGGGGCTCCGGGTCAAAGGTGCATGGCAGGCCTGGTTGGGAGGCGGAGCCACGTGGTCACGGCCCCCCCGACCGCTCTCGGTGGCACTGTTGCCTCTTCCTCTCCTGTCTCCTTGGTGAACGGCTCCTCCCGGGCGGCTCCAGTTGGAGGAAAGGGCGTCTGAAGGTTTCCCTCCGAGACCAGGTGTGGTGGCAAGGGCGTGCGTCCCGCAAGCTTGGGGTCCCCGTCCAGCTCAGTGTCAATAGCATGGACGTCCAGCCTGTCCGCATCTTCCACCTGGATGGTGTTTACCGCGACCCCCTTGCAGAAGTGGTAGTGCCGGCTACGGATGTCCTCCCTGTCGAAGCTGACCCCGCAGCTCTTCTCGCACTGGAAGGGAGGGGCGGGCCGCAGAACCGAGCAAGCCATCCTCAAGTGGTGCCTCAAGCTCCGTCGCTGGGTGAACCCCTGCTGACAGAGTCCATCCTGTTGGGAAGAGAAAATGGGGTATCAGTGGTTAGGGATAACAAGTACTGGCTTAGTCGGACTACCCGGCGCCCCCTTCGAGTCAGGCGAGTGAGATCTGGCATTGTGAATTGATGCTGCGTGCCCACCATGTCTGTACTGTCAATTTCTCCATGCTCGAGGGGGTCCCGCCCCCTCATCGTCCGACTTGCTGGAATCGGTGGCTCCCCCAGCAGGGTCCTGTGTCGCCTCCTCAGCCTGCGAGGGGGACCAGGGACTGAAGGGTCACGGCTCCCCAATCTCTTCGGGTGCTTTTTGTGCCTCGTCTGCCAACTGTGAGGCAGGCCGGGGGTGGGCCTGAGTGGCCGCGGCTCCTAACCTCTTTGGATGCTTCGGGCATGACCTCTATCAACTGTGAGGCAGAGTGGGGGGTGGGCCCGGGTGGCCGCGGCTCCCCATTCTCCTCGATCGCTGGATGCCCCGTGCTTGCACATCTCCACCATCCCAGGTTGACGTCTCCGAGGTAGGGCTTCAACCTGTTGTAATGCACGATACAGGGTTTGGATCGGGGTGACTTCTGGGTCCTGAAGGTGATGTCGTTAATGCACTCCAACACCCCGAACGGCCCTTCCCAGCGGCACTGCAGCTTCGGCGCTAGGCCCACCTTCTTGGCTGGATTGTAAAGCCAGACGGCCTGCCCGGGCCCAAAGCTAGCTCCCTGAGCCCTTCGATCATATTGCTGCTTCTGATATCGTTGACTGCGCTAGAGATGGCACCAGGCGAACTCATGCGCACGCTCTATCCTTGTCCTCATACTTGTGCATCATCAGGTCCTCCGGCTGTCCTTTCGGCCAGCCCACCACCATGTCCAATGGAAGCCCCACCTCACGGCCAAGCATGAGCATGTTCAGGGTGAGTTTGGTGCTGTCGTGTTGGGAGGAACGGTATGCCATCTTGACATATGGAAGGTGTTCATGGTCTTAACCGTCCGGTTGAAGCGTTCCACCATTCCATCTGACTGGGGAAGGAATGGCATTGTCCTCGTCTTCTGGATGCTAAGGAGCCGGCAGACCCCATGGAACAAGCCAGCCTCGAACTCCCGTCCTTGGTCAGTGTGGATCTCCCCTAACGTGTGCCGAAAGGGGTGATGACGTGCTCCACTAGTGTCCGGGCCACCGTCTCTGCTGTCTGGTCCAGGATGGGAAAAGCCTCCATCCATTTGGTAAAATAGTCAGCGACCACCATGATTGCCAAGTTCCCTTACCTCGTCGGTGGCAGCCTTCCAGTGAGATCTATGGCGATGCTGACCATGGGTGCGCCGGAGACATACTGCTGCAGGTGGGCCCACCCTGGACACGGCGGGGGCTTCCGGGACCCACATAGGTGGCACTTCTGGCACCACTCCTCGGCTGCCTGCTGCATTCCTCTTCAATAGATGGAGCCTGTTGCAGCCTGGCGATGGTCCGGGCGATCCCCAGGTGCCCGGCAGTACGGTGGTTGTAGGCCAGCCGCAGGACCTCCTGTATCCTGGTTCGTGGAATGGCAACTTTCCAGGTCGGGGGGCTGCTGGGTGGTCGCTCCCACCTCACCTGGAGGGCGCCCTGTTGTAGCCGCAGTGTCTTCCACCTGCCGGCACCGAGGGCTGAGACTTCCTCCTACTTGGTAGCCTGGTAGGTGGTTGCACTGCGGCATGCTCTAGCACTAGGGGGTGTGTGCTCTTGTTCCGCCATAACTTCCGAAGGGGCATGTTGGTCCACGTAAGTGATGCTTGTTGGACCACATTGAAGGCATATATGATTAGGACACAATGTGCAAAACAAGATGGTGGGTCATGTGTCATGTTGAAAGGGGTTTTAGTTGAGGTAATTATAAACTCTCGCCCCTCCAAGTCCTCAGTCTGGTTACTAACAATTCTAACGCTATGGCTATTCTTACATTGTGTACATTCAATAACTATTTATTCCAGCTTGTAATAAGTTGAAGAACAAGAATCGTTACAATAATTCGACATGCACCTGACAGGGCAGTGGGCTAATAGCCCCACACATACATTTTGCACATGTAGGGCCGTACATCATGGCGGTCTTTTGAAATATGTCTTTTAACTGACGCCAGTACAGCCCTACCTGTATAGAAGCTTAGTGCAGATTGTCAGGAACTTTGAACACAATTTTTTCCCCCAAAAAACAACTATACAATTTTACTTACACCAGTCGACTACGCAGAGTTTACTCTCTGATTATCCCGTGACAAAATTACCGCATTCTTTTTTACAAAAGAAGGCATCTTTTTAAATCCAGCCTATAATGGATGGTCACAATGTCCTCGACCATTTTGAATAAATGCGATACGATACAATTTTCATCATAAACTTACCGAAAGCGTATTTATCCCAATACGTAATATTAATTTATTTTGCAGAAGCCTCGATTGAATGGCCACCAGGCATGACACATTAGCAGAATCAGTAAGAGTTGTGCTTTTGTATATATGCAACAAAATGAAACGAGTTTTATGGTACAGTATGTACGTGTATGTGATTAAGTGAACTGACTTGGATGCCGAGTGGATAGTCTCTCTCAATACAACTAAGGACATGGTGAATCTTTCCCTCAAGTGTGGTGAGGCTGGTCAGATCTGCCAGAATGTCACAAAGCTTAAAGAAGCTCTCGTGTTGTTTGTTCAAGCATGTCCCAAAAGACATGCTTGAGGACCCCATTTGATGCCAGCTGTAATTACATGTAAAATAAACAACCAGAAGTGCTCATTATACTATAATATCTATTATTATTGCAGTTAGTCCTTTAAAGTCTGAATAAAGTTCTCACAAATATACAAAAAATTTACATTACACTAGATCATAATGTTTTGTTGATCTGATCAGTTACATGTATTGTTTAAAGCTCACATGGTGTACATTATACATTTGTAGCTGATGATCCAAACTCTGGCAGCGATTCCCTGAAGAAACTTTAAAGATCTCTCTTTGGCAAGCTGGTTGTCATCTACAAATAAGGATGAATTAAACATAGTATTGCCATAAAGTAATACTGCATCTATTTTGGTTTCTTTCTTTATTTAATTTGGGAGACAGCAAACAATACATAATTACAAAGCATTTCTGCAATAACCCAAAAAACAAAAAAAAAGACAGCCTCGGGTAATCCAGCCCTCAATTTCAAGAATGGATCAAAAATACAGCTCGGTAAAATCCCAAGCTATCTGCCAACTTGTATGTATATGTTTGTTGAAAAAAAGTAGTCACATCCTTGGAATGAGAAGTCTTCATGTCCTGCAAGTGCATGGATTGCTTTATTAGCAATGAAATCAATTTCATTACCAGTGGGAATGACAACGTGAGTGGTGAAACTGTCAAAATCACGTGTATATGCACAGGCAGTCTCCCTAGCAAGTTGTTTAACTTTTCTCTGCATAAAATATAGGAAATGCCTATGAATACATGGAAATGTTTTGGGTGATTGAAGCTAAAATCCAGTTCTACGTGACATGCTTTAAAGTACAATGCTCTTAATAATTGAATCTCAAAGGACCTGTGATCAAAGGCTCACCTGTTCCTTTGAAGTTAATATCGATGCAACCAATGATGTTCCCTTTGTTGATGAGACCTGCAGAGTTTGCTTTGACAGGTCTTTTAAGAAAAGGAAACAAATCAAGTCCAAATTTGATCACAGATTTTACCAGAATTACTTACCTTTACAAAGTAACATAATTATAAGAATGAAAATTATGTTCTGTGTTGAACTTGTGAGAAAGTTTCCTCATTACCTTGAAACTTCTCTAAGCAGATTTCTATTGAGTGCCTCTCCTCCTCTGGGGACACCATTTTCCTGGTAAGGGGCTGCATATATGAGAAGCTCCCAAGATGTTCCAAGTGAAAGGTTCCTGCTTTGAGATTATGGACCACACCCTCTGGCTCTTTTGTGCTGGGAATTGATGTCTCACGCGGAATGTGTCTTCAGGGTTTCTAAATGTACACATACACAACCCACATGAAAATACATGTACATACATGTACCTTGGGCAACTCATGACCAAATGCCTGATGATCAATGTTCTGTTATGAGAAAATTAAAAAGGACGTAACCAGTTTGTAAGAGTAGCACAGAATGAATGCAAAACACATTTTCAGTCTTCCTTTCAACTTAAAATTGGAATTGCATTCATATAGAAACGGGAATGTATCGAATTGCTACAAGTGCAAGTTACAATGTATGTGTCTATTTTGTCTAAAGCTTTTTTAAAAATAAATATTTTACCATTGAAGATTTGTTACTTTTGAAAACTAATATTGGATGGATCTTCTTTCAGTAGAGCCTCTAATATAGTCTTTAAATCACATTTAGAAAAGTTACTTTCATCACAAATGTTTTTAACATTTTTGTGACGTGTGGCCTTGCTTAATTTGTAATTCTGCATACACTTGAAAATGATAATGCAGTCAGTTGGCTTACCTTTTGTCGCTGGGGGACATTTTTGTCGCTGTAGTCATACCTTAGCTCTTGTCCTGCTGCTGTATCCTCGCAAGCAAACAGGCAAGACATGGTGTACCAACCACAGAAATCGCCTTCATTTGGGAGTTGGCCTTTTTCAAGGGGGCATCATTTACCATTCGACAGGCACCATCTGAATTGGTGCCATCAACGCTGTAAGATTTTTGACATGTAATAAGTTCTTAAAGTTTTTTCATTGTTACCGTCAAATACCATTCAGAAAAAAATACACTGAAATTCATTAAAATATGAAATGAATTTTCCTTACTTATTGAATGTTGCCCTGCAGTACAACGCTTCAAGTATAAAAAATAACTCGCACACACACACAAATAATTTCACCTTAACCACAGGGTAAACCAAAGAGTCAGCTTACCAGAGAGAAGTTCCTTTATCCTGAAAAAAGTAAAGGAAGCTCCCTTTTTCAACTGGGTAGCTCCCCTGGCAACTTTCCCCTTCAGACTGGGAAATCACTTCTCGTCGATACTGTAGGAGAAAGTCACCCTTGGCAAAGTCCCTTGTCACAAAGGTTCCATGTCCTGCAGATTGACACACAGAATTAACAAAACTTTTTAGACTTTAACTTTAGACTTTTTGGGGGGGGTGGGGGAGTACGCAGTTTTGTAACATACCTATGTAATCATCAATGTATCGCACTTCGAAACCATCACTGTCTTCTTTTTTTCTGCATGCTTCACATACCTGCTGAGATGGGGTCATCCTTGATTTTCTTAAACGAGACATCCTCTAATATGAAAATAAAGATAATAAAGAATATGGACTTCACAGAACGGTTTAGTGCACACTCATTTCTTTTCAACTTCACTCCATTTAGTGAAAATCCACTTGCTGAATGAAATCAGGGACCAGAAAATTTGAGGGAAGTTTCTGTCATCTGCTATTTCTTTTAAAACTTTTAAAATATAATTTCGGAGTAGTTTCCTTCTAAAAAGTCTTGTCCCTACTGAGTATCCTTTTCAGTAATATTTCATGAAGGACACATTCCTGCTAGCAGGTCTCCATGCCTATCCATATGTAGAGCCTGGCCTTCAGGACCAGAGGGGCAACAACTTGATATCTGGGGAGCAGTAAACCGTGGACTTGGTGTGTTGTTGCAAGTACACTGTAGGCCTACAATTTTTGAAGGCTTATTGTTAATAATGCATGATTTAACCAAATTGAAGGGATATGCACAGTTTTGTTTAATTTTTTAAATGAAAAGGGAAAAGAACCACATCTGTGAAAAGGCTCTGAACTTTTTTTTTATTTAGAGAGGGAAATGGACCCCAAATGGTAACCATCTTGCTACAACCAAAAAAAATCATTCAGTAATGATGTTTTATAGAGTAAGCCTGATTTGTTTCTTCCCATGCTTTCTGCATGTGGTGCACCTTCCACATCTCAAACCTTCCCCTGGCACATCACAAGAGCAAAGTCATAAACCTTAACTGTCCTTATAGTTCCAGATGTCCAATCCATCAGTGTAAACCTAAACCTTTACCCTGACCAGAGCTAAAACAAGTTGACCTTTTGTCCATTGTGAAAGTATCAGGCACTCCAGGGTTAAGTTATTCCCTTCAAGAGCAATCACCAATATATATGTACATGTGTACTTGTATTCCTAAAAAAAAAGGTTGAAAAACATCACTACACCTAGTCCCTCCAACTTTTTTTTCACGAAAATACTTTTCCAAATTATCCCTTACCCTTCTTAATTTGTGGATGCTAGCATTAAAACTTAAACTGACTTGGTTTGGGGTTTCTTTATAGATCTGATGAATGGCAAATGACCTTTAAGAGTTTCTTGCACAGGTATCACACAATATAAGGCCTTGCATGTGCACAGGCAATGCCCAACCACAAAAGGGCGCTGTAACTTTATGTTCTTTGTTGAAAGAAACAACTTTGACAGAGAACACACCTCCTTTTCAGGACCAAACAATGTATGGTTATACACCTCAATTTGAGGACCAGCCTTATTTTAGTACAGGCAGCATATCACCCTCTATAGAGATGCTCACTTTTTCAAAAGTCCCCACTTTGTTGGTGTGTTTTCCATTGGTGGTCCCGAGATGTAGGTGGAGGTGCAAACAAACACCCCACCCAACAAACAAACAAATAAACAAATGATGCAATTATTGTTGAAAAGCTTACTTCATTTTAAGATACGTGTGAAATTGAACTCCCTGAGAAATTGTTCTTTCTGATAAGTTCTCATATTGAAAAGGAGGACATAGCGCCATTTCTAACATTATGTCTAAAGACATTTTTGGAAATTGCTTCCAGTAGTTCACTTTTAATTGGCAAAGTGTGTCCAAACATTGACACAGCACACACAAACAAATAGGCTAATAGAATAGTTACAAGGTACTTAATTCAAAATTTGATACGGCTTACAAGGGAGAATATAAAAGGTGCTATGAATTACTAGAAAAATTACCTTCTTTGCATCTCTGGCAGGAACTTCATAATCACTGTTGTGAGCATTCCTGTTAGGGAGTGGTCTGTCATCTGGAGAGGAACTCATACCTCAGGGTTCGGTTGTGGCATTAAATGCCATTATTTGTGTTGATCTTAACACTAAACCGATCTTGACGGAAAACCCATGCCCATTTATGGAATTGTAAGTAAATTGAAAAACTGACCAGATTTCAATATTTCTAATATTTCTGAAAGGTACAATCTTAAAACCAAAGCCAGAGTGCTCCATACATATAATGTCCATCAACATATTGGCAGTGCTATGAAAAATTTTCCAGACAGCCTCAACAATTTTTTTCTCAAAACTTGACTAGTAAGAGCTATTGTGCAGTTTAGTAAGGGCCACATCATTGGATTCTTTAGAGGCAGTCTGTGCAACCCTTCTAAGGAGCAGCAATATCTTGTCACTCACTCCGATGAGACCATGCTTGGATGCTCTCAACCATCTTATCCAAGACTGTTCTCTGTGGAAGCCACAAAGAATCACCTACACTCTGGAAGAAATAGAAACTCAGCCATATTGCCATTCCATTTTTAGCACAGTACAACACAATTTGAGGCAATCGCACACTAAAGCAAAAGAGACATAAAGATGTACCGGAACTTACAATCATCACATTTCTTACTTTTCTATATAGGGTCCCTGACTTCACAGAAGTAAAATGTCTAGATACTAGATGTTCAGAAATGTGTCAAGGTTAAAAAATTTGCATTACAATTTTTACATCTCCTATGAACACACCAAAAACAGAACAACCTGACAAATTTGTCCCTGTCCCTATAACTCTACGTAGTGCAATGTTAAACTGTTGTCTGACAATGTCTGTAAAAGTTGAATCTACAAACATACTGATCACAAATGTATTTTGGAAAAAATCACTACACAGACAAAGAAATAAATGATAATTTGTTACCTGGGAATGTCTTCTCTAAGGCATTGATCTCTGCGTCGCAGTTATCCACCATAAAGAGTGATGGGGACCATCCAGAATTTTACTTCATTATTATATTGAGAGCTGTGACAAGAGTGCTGCTGTCTTCAAACTGACTTGCAATGACAGCAACAACTGAGTAATCAGTGTTGGTCTTAACACAGATGAAGAAAAGGGGAACAGCACATCTTGTGGTGCGTTATGTTGCATCCAAAAGACACAACTCTCCTCCATATCGCTTGAGAAGATGCATCTGCCACTTGGACTGGTATACAAACAGTGCCCTACATCCTTGATTACTGTCAGCACCATTGGCAGCTTCTTCTCCCACGGCAGGAAAAAAGTGGTTTTTCGGGCTTTCTTGCCTCCATTCTTCAATATTTTCAAGAAGGCTCTCTTGGTCGTATTTAGACTTTAGGGATCCCAGGCGTGTCGAATACACCATGTTGGAGATGTCCCGCATGGTTGGGAAAAACCTCCAGTTGTTCCTTGAAGGACTATTCCCATCTGCAAAGAGTTCCTTCCTTACATTAGCATTAAGGAGGGATTTTATGATCGCAGATGACTGAAATCCTTCCTTCACGTACTCCTGGACTTTTTCTGCTAAACGCAGGTCTATTGGCATTGACAGTTCTTCGATCTGAAAAGCAATTCCAAAATTGCAAATATTTCTATATCGAGATAATTCATACATGTTACAATTTTTTCTGCAATTTGGACTTCAGCAGGAATTTTAGTTAACACATACAGACTTGCACTTTGGTTTAAGATAGACAGGTTCAAATACTAAAGAGGGAACATATAGCAATGGATGCAGGTTGTACAATATAAAACATCAAAACTGTACTGCTTCCAAGTATGAATGGAGGAACAAATATTACAAGAAGCACGTACTGGGCACATGTCATACATGTATGCACTTGGTGAACTACTGCTCTGCATGCACGGTCAGTAAGAAAGACTTGAGCCATATTTTTGTAGACAGATGACAGCAAACATTACCACAACTCTGACTTTGTAATTCTTGGGTAACTTTGCTAGGTTTATAAAGTACAGTACTTGTTCATGAATAACTTTTATCAGCACCCCTTAATTTCAGGGTGAACTTATTACAAAATGTTTACCATGTCCTGGGATTAGAAGCTGTGCTCATTGTTGGCTGGCAAATTGACATGTATCGTGCGCTGACAAGTAATGGTGCTTTCTTCTTTTCCTAGGTTCATCTTTATTTCCTGGGCAAATTTTTCCCTTTGCCATTTTGTTACCCTTGAGATCTGCAAAAACAAATCACAAGGTATAAATTAAAAAATCACAATACATCTCCTGTCTGGGATAATAATTGGAGTACAGCAATAACAGGAACACATTATTGTAGCTGAGTAAACATTTATGAAATTTCTTTAAAAGGTTATTATACTCTTACACAGAAAGAAAAACTGATTTGTGTCACTCGCCACAGCTTCAATTTAATCAATGTTATCTCACCGGAATACCAAAGGTTATGGGCAAACTGGTAAACTGAAACTAATCTTCCCTCAAAGCCAATATTTTGCAGCTTGTCTCAAATCTTCCATCAATACCATTCAAAACCTCTAATTGTCTGACAGGTTACTAATTAATTAAAAAGTTGATTATGGGTACTCCATTCCATAATCTTGAATTATGCTCCTGACATAATGATTAGTATACTTGGGTACACACACCTGATGCACAGCCCTACAAATGTTAAAATCAAAATTACTATATACAGCAACTGCTTTAGCTGGTGAAATCTGATCAGGATCAATGAACTGTTTGTCATTGAATGACAGATGCAAATAAACTGTAAGCATGTATATTTTGTGCCTTTGGCATGAGCTCAGGTTGGCCATCACACCCAGGATGCAGTCTTTGATGGTCAAGTGCAGCCTGCGTGCCTAGCTGCACTGCTGAGCGTAAGCTCACAAAGCAATATCTTCCTGATTGATTTGTTCCATTCTTAGGTTTGAGCTGGTCAACTGGAGTAATTTCTGCAGTTTTCGGTCGAAGTAATATCATTTTTCTACACTTGGCCTGTGCTGTTGGTAGTGCCTGGTGTAAAAACTGTCTTTCATCTCTAGAATTAAACAGCTAACTCGAGCTGCTCCAATGTTGATTGAATGTACCGACGCTTTTCTGTCTCAGCTACACGTACATCCTCATCGGCACAGTGCAGAGTTTTGAGTTACAATAAGCTGCTCGCAGGTTAAATTTTAATAAAATCTGGTACACTGTTATCTGATTGCACAGAAATGTAGCAATTTAAATTCCCCAGACTAAAGACACTGTTGCTGTACCTTGTGCAAGCTTTTGCATAGTGACCACCATCTCTGAAATGGACTGGTTCCTTTGTGTCGTTCGTATCCATTGAGAACAGTGTATTGTTGCGAGGCATCTCTTATGTAACTAAGCAAAAGCTTGCCCCAAATCTCAAGGTACAGCAAGACTGGCTTTTAGTGTGGAACTATTGTGTTCTCACGAATTTATAGAACTCAGTTTGCCAGGTTTTATTCAAATTTAACTCGCAAATGGCTTATTCGTGCTTGGGTTTGAACCAAGTTTTTTCCTTCTGTCAAATTCCTGATCTAAGTCGGCCCAAATTTTACCAGAAAATATTTACGGCTTGCTCTGTGGTTTTCTTCAGGTTGCTAGAAATGATTTTGTCTTGAAAATACTAGTATCAATCTTATTAATTTTGATCCATGGTGATGGGATGTTTTGTTAAATTGCGTGAACGTGCAGCTGGCCATTGAAATATAAGCAAAGCATAGGCCTGGACGCATGCAAGGGTGATTAGTGGAGTGGGAAAGCTGAGTTGCATTCTTCACAATGGGGTAAGTAATGCGCGCCGCTGCAACAGTGAGCTAAAGTTCATAGTCAGTTTCCCCCAGGAACGCATAGGGTAGCTTGTTGACACAGCTGGAATTGCTCATCATAAGCATTTTAACTGAGACCCAGGAATTGAAGGGGGGCGGTACGAATTATTTTTGCATATTTGAGCAGTTTTTGACAACATTCAGGATGCTTAGTTATGAAGATGGACATGTAAACATGAAATGCGGACTGCCACGCGTCAAAAGATTCTATACGCCTGCACTTCGTCCCAGGCTTCTTCAAAACCAATAATCCCCCCTATTTATGGGTGTAGCCACTCTAGGAACTGAAAATTGCAGCCCAAAAGGCTTCAACTCACCCGCGGTGGAGAGCACTGGATGGCTGGATCAACTCACTGGTGGCAGAATTTATTAGTGGTTGGCGAAACTGACTGCCCGACGGATAGCCCACGTTAGGTTCAGCTACATGTATTGCAAATGAACTATTGAAGGCCACTGGGCCGCCGCAATTGTCTGGTGGGCATTGACCGCTCCGCTGTTCCTCTCGTACAAGGGGACCGTTTTTTTTTACACCAAGACCGTGGAATAGAAACCATTGGAAACCAAATGGAAACCATTTTCTTTCTCAAGAGGCCTCATGCTTGCCTTCACCTCATTGAATATGCAGTCAAGGTCCGTCTTAGCTGCCTATTTTTCCACACCTCTGCATGTCCTCTCACCATTGCCTCCTGCTTCTTTACAACATCATCTACAGCCTCTACTTCTCCTTTGTGAATGGGACATTCAAACCGAGAGCCACTGACATCTACATTTCCCAACTCAAAGTAATCGGTGTGGAACTACCCACTTTCGTCATCAATGCCACATACATCACATTGGACCCACTGTACTTCATTTTCATTACCATGAGCCATGACTGAAAGTGCACATGCTGCTATAGCACAGGTGTTGCTGGCACCCCTTCCTCGTTTTCCTGCCTGAACTGTCTGAAACCTTCGAACAGATGTTCTTGATACTTTTGTTTTTGTTTGGCATCTTCCAGCTCCCTCTCACATTCTTCTACTTATATGGATAGTTCCTCCCACCTTGTGTTTAGGATTTCATCCCTTTTTTCTGTTTCCTCCAAATGTCCTCCACTGATTAGAAAAATAAAAAGACAAGCCCAAGCATTATGTGTAGGATGGAAAATGCAACATGGCCTAGTCTATGCAGCACATGTACAGTGGGTTTAAAAAAGCATCACATTGTGGCCAGCAGACAAGGAGTGACAGTGCTGCAGCTGGAGGGACTGCTTGGTGGTCAAACACGTTCAACCTGTCACTGCCTGGTTACATTTTGAGAAGTTTTAAATTCATCTGCACAACTGTTGGCTAACCTCTCCCGTTCTGGTTTTTCTCTGCTGTGTTTTTCAGCTGCTCTTCTAGTTTTGCATTTCTTTCTACAAGGTGTGGACTTTGTTTTGGCAGCTGCTCATTTTCAAACTCTGATTTCATGAGTTTACATCTGTACTTAACAAGCCTCCTCTGCCTCCATTGTAATCATTCAAAGTGGTGACGTCACCAACGGTTTTTGCTAGCCAAGCACATTCAGGTATTTTCATCAAGAGGGCGCTAATCTTATATTTGCTCTCGCCGTGCAATGTGAAACGTTTCTTTGCCCCTAATGCCACAGAACTTAATATTGATATGTTCCTCATCTAAACAGCGGATGCTTGTCGGCTAGCAGTGGGTGATGACGATACGGTTGTTTTGAAATGGCATGAGTGACTCAATTATGGTTCTCTTTGCATTGTTTATACGTTGTTTTCAATACCCAGCAGACCTAGTATGAGTTGATGATTTGCTGTGATGAAGCTTTAAGTGTCTTCATTTCAAAGTGAGTTGAAAATGTTAAAGAAAATGAGTACCGATACTATTATGACCCGAGCTGTAAAAACTGTTGAATGTGACAAAACTGAGGCTAGTGTCAAATCATCTAAAACAATAGCATGTTATAGGTGATTGTATTGGGATATCTCGTGCGTATTGTACATGTACAAGGCATGCCTTTATTCATAAATCTTACTTAGGGATAGTTTTTCACATACATTTTCACAGGCACATAAGTTTTCCCCCTCCCCCTATTTTTTAATGGTTCTACCCGCAGAAACTAGTACAATTGATTTGACCAGTAATATCCAGATTGATGGTGACCTTGCACTACCCTAGATATTCAGCTTAGGACATCAGTAAATGGAGTTTAAGATAAATTAAACCTGAATGGAAATTTCTTATAGGAGGACAAACTGACTGCTACAGAATTCAACCATTCCTTGAAGGTGAAAACTCTTGAACAGATGGTGCAAGTGCATGCCCTAAGATAGGTCTATATTTTGTTGTATTTTGACCATAATCTTGTGCTGACATTTCTCACTTACATCCTCCATTTATCTCAGTCTTAACTTCGTTTTATTTCCCCCTCTAAAGAATTCCACCTCAAAGACATCTGATTTTGTCCATAAAACTAAAAATGTAGAACATTTTGCTGGCACATGAAGAAAACCAAATGCACAACGCATGATTTGATTGTGACAGATGCTGTTAAACATGTGTGATATCCACCTTGAGTCCTTACAAACTGATTAAATGCAGATGCCTGCAAATATGAAAAAGAAAGTATCCAAGTAGCAGCATTGATTCACGTAGATGGCACATGTTGATGTTTATCTTTCTTAATAGAAAACACATTTGATTGATTGAAGCAAATTTGTTATAGTTCTAAAAAACATATAAATTTGAGCTATTTCCTTGTTAAACACACTTTACACTGTTGACTTTCCTTACTAAAGAAGATAAGGTCTGGAGTTTGCCTTCAAAATATTACCAATATAGATTTATACACTGGCAGCACATAGTTTCCTTTGTTAAGATGAACCTGTATCTTCTTACCAGTTTGCTTGAATAAGACTCTCTGAGATCGAGATCACAAAACTCTTAGTTTTCACAATCCCTGAAGTATTTGCCAGGTTAAGTTTCAAGAAATCCACACATACACCTACTTCCCTCTGCTTCAATAGCTTCCAGTTGATCAACATTCAATTCCACACTTTAGTGTAAACCCTCAAATCACTTGAATCCCTGCGCCAGACTATCTTCTCTTCTGAGTACCAGACCTGTTCTAATTCCCTTGTTTCTCTGACTTTCTCATTATTGCCATCTCTAAGTCTCCAAAGAAGGCTGAGGACAGGGCTTTTCCTACTGCTACTCCTTGCCTGTGCAACAATTCATCCTACCACATTAGGAATCCAGACAGTGCATCATCATTCAAATCTGCTCTCAGGAAGTACCTCTTCCACAGATCAATCGTTGATTGTCTCTCTTTTGTTTTCTTTCGTTTCCAGTAAGTGCATTGCTGCTTCTGGTGATTAGGCAATATATAAATAGACTTTAATAATACAGATATATTTTTATTATTTTGGTTGTATGTACATGTTAGAGCACAACCCACAGTGCCTTCAGGTGTGTACACGTGGCAGGTACATGTACCTGTCATAACCCTTCAATTCAATATTTCATTCCCTTTTCTATCCTTGTGGTGGCACAGAGGACATTTCAATAGTTACCAGGGAACAAAGATATATAAAAAAAGCTCAGAAAATTGAGACTATGAGATTCAAGCTGTAATCACTATGGTCATTGGTGGAATGGGTGAGGCCTTGGCATTTCTGCTTTGTAGCTTGCTTAGCAATCAGATTGAAATGGTATTTTATGAAATACTTTCCACTGAGTTGCTTGGGTTATATAAAGTTGTATAAGGATCATTCCATGAGGTTCGGGTACAATTTGTGATGGTGTCCTTGTTACATGGTAACTTTTACCACCTGTCACGACCTGTAGAATAGGCCATTTACTCTAAAAGTAAACACCTCTGTATTCAGCTTTGTAAGATATTTTGGAATCTACATGCAGGGAAATAGCTGTTCATTTTTATGGAACCCACATGTAACAATGGACACCATAACAAATGGAATGGCCCATAAGTTATACAAAGTTATGTTATTAACAAATCTGTGAGCATGATTAAATTCAAATCAAATATGTTGTTAATGTATGTAAAATGAGAATGCATCTGAACCTTGGAATGGCCTAACATCAGGGTGTCATTGGGGTTCCAAACTCTGGCTGACGGTGAAGATGTATTCCATGCTGCAATTGTATAACTTGGGGGTGTTACAATGTGCCCACTAAAGTGACCTGATGGAAGCATTAGCATGATGCTTAACACCATCCTGCTCTGCTGATGCTTTGCTGAAGACATTAAGCAACATCCACTTGATGGCCCACAGTGTAAGCCTTGCTAGATTCTTGGCTTTCTAGGATATGAGCAGCCTGATGACTAATGATGCATGTACATGCAACAAACAGTTCAGATGTTGTCTCCTTACAAACCCAAGGAAGCCTTGCTGCTACAGGAACCAATTTGGTAGGACTTCCAGAATGTCAGACACTGGCCCTATACTGTTGACACGGATATGCTGAGGACAGTTCGAGTGACCTTCAGTAGTTATCCCCATGACGAGCAGACCTCTTACCAGAATGACCTAGTGGGTTGGACTTCCAGGATGCCAGACACTGCCCCTATGCTGTTGACAGGGATATGCTGAGGACAGTTTGTATGGCCTTCATCAGTGATCCCTGTGATGAGCAGACCTCTCTCCAGAATGACCAAGTGGGTTGGATTTCCAATATGTCAGGCATCATCTCTTTACCACAGACACTTTACAAATGTTTGTTTCAGCTTTGTAGCCAGGGTGACTGTGTTGCTCTCTTACTTGACCTTGCTGCTAGGACAAAGTCCACTAGCCATTAGGAATGCCTAATGCTCCTCCACATCATCAAAAGTTGATTGAGCTACAACTTCTGCAGTTGCCCTGACTCTTTGACATCAAGTGAGCCGATCAATGAAGCCCAGTACCACACTCCATGGAACCACATTGTAGGGCTGTTGGACAGCATGCAATACTTCCTGACAATGGACACTTTTCAGTGGTAAAGCCTGAAGTCAGAAGAGTGAAGGATGCTGTGGTGGGGAACATTGATTTAGCCATTTCTGGGTCACTGTTCAGCATTTCAAATAGCTTTAGCTGAATGAACTCACTATCCTGAATGGAGTTCCTCAAGTTGACAGCATAAGAGTGTTATAGCAAGTCATGTATCTTGCAGAAGTGGTCCAGTGAGAGGAAGGGGTGGGGCTGGAAAAGTTCTGTACATTTTATTGTGGGGTGGGGGCTACTAGCAGTTATGTACATGACACAATGGTTGCATTGAGTTTCAAAGTAGTAATTGTATTCAGCTGATGGTATTTTAGAAGCATTATCAAAAAGGCAAATATTTTAAGAACCAACAATTTAAGTGTAATCTTTACCAATTGGAGCAATGTTATCTTTCTGTTTACATTGCCAGAGTCAGTTTTAAGGAAAGAGGAATAGGGATAGGGCCTGAGTTAATCGTGCACTCACTGCTATCAGAATGACATACTTAGTTGATGAATGCATGTATCAACCGAAATACTTAACTTCTGGCAATGCATGCTTACTTTATCATCTGTCAAGTCAAGTCTTTATTACTTTTAAAACTGGGTTTGATAATTACACCCAACATTATTAAGAATTGTTATTATGGAATTCCTTTGTCTTAAATAGTTTTGCCAAGTTTGTGAAACTTTTAAGCAAATAACAGTGTTGTACTTCAGACCATCTGCAAGACCAATCACAAAGCCACATACAAGACCATGAACAAAACCAGTCATGGGTAACAGGGTGGACAATGAAAAAGGAATTCTTTTCTTCCAGTTCATCCAAAATAGTTTCTGACTTGAATTTTGATTTGAAGTCTTGTTTGTTGGTCCTGTGGGATCTCAACTACAACACCAGGAATTCACTAGGCAAATGTTGCATGCTAAGTAAGAGTGATCTGGAAACCAGTCTACATACAATGTGGATGAAATAAATCCTGTGTTCGGATTTCTGTAGATATAAGGTCAATAAAATTGGCCTGACTCAACTGAGAATTGTTACAGTCCTATAGCTGAAAGCAGAAACTCTGATTGCCTAGCCTCAGTTTTATATAGCCCCATGGCTATTTTATTTGGATGTGCTGTTAAACTTATAAAAGAGTTGTTCCATCCAAACTTTACTTCAAGTCCACTGTGAAAGGCTGGAGAACTTAACCTTTTACATTTGTAGTTCCACATGTACATCCTGTAAAAAGACCACGCAAAGTGCAACATGCCCAGTATTGAAGAATTGGGGCCGCTTTTTCTACCTGCATCCTTGTAACCTATGAAAACGGTCCATTATCTACAATCTACAAGTCCAAGGACTTGCCCAAAATTTGTTGTCATTAAAGTAAGTATCCAACTCACCACATCTCTGTTGGTTGCCAATATGGGGGTGTATCTCCAATTGGAATCAGAAATTGATTACACTCTCAGATTGTAAAATTTCCTTCAACTGTTTGCTGTCATTTCTTCACACTGTCACTTTTTATGCATTTTGAATTTCCAACAAATGCTGTGAATAAGAGATGTACTGGATATATTCTGGTTGCAATCTTGCATGTATCCAGGACCCCTTGTACATGACTGCTCTTCAAATTCTTGTTCTAAGTTACTTCCATCTATTACATTATCACTAAACAATAGATCTCTCAAATCACAACTGATTGTAATTTCTTTGTACCAAATATCAGTCTGCTCAAGATAACCTTGAGCATTTTCAACATTTTCTCTGCTTACAAACTAATACTGATAGTATCCTTTGTATGACACTTTCGTCTTCAACTTCACTCCAATTAACTAATTACTACTTTTACTTGGCAATACTGCTATTGCATTTTTTAATATGAGATGGATGACACACACTCACAAAGGACCATGTAGGGACCATGAAACAGACTATGTGAAGAGTGCTGACACAATTTCCTTTGATCGGCATATCAACCAATATAACTAACTTCCACTTTAGTGCTGTAGTTCCTCATTACAACCTCTCAATTTATTCTTGAAAAAACTTGCCAGCCAAGAGCACAAACACACTCCTGACTTCTTGTCACTGGTACCGCAGACTGATGGAACACCTGGAAAAAGGCAACAATGAGTCAGGTGGTACCTGATGACACCCCCACCTACTGAGTGGATAATACAAAGACCAGTGTGATGTTGTATCTGATTGCTTGGCTGTGGCTGACAGTAATGTATGTGTTTATGGGGAATGGATTTAGCCACTAATTGCCAGTTTGCATAGGTGCATGTACTACTGTCAACTGTATCCAAGCTATTTGGATGTGGCGTAACATGCTGATCTTTGGGGGACCTTTAACCACAGGTGTATCATCTCTTTACTATGCTGTTCACTGATTATTAAAGCACTTTTTGTTCCACAATGTAGGATTTATTCCTGAATAAAAGAGGAAGGCTTAGACCCCCCTCCCCCAAATCTCTGGTCAGTGCACGCATTGCTGTTGGCCTGCATATCAGTAAAATAAAAAACTATTTTGTTTAATTAGATTTCTATAGCTACCAAACATGCTTGACTGACTGGAATCCTACTACTGCATAAATTGAAGCTGAACTGAATCTTCCACATGTACATGCTTGTTAGTTTATAAATGGCAAATGGAACAAACAAAACACTGTGAACCGCATGTGTCAGGGAGCACTGGCATTGAGATGTTGGCTCACCCTCTTGGTTTCTCATAGGTGAGGGGGATGCTTGTGCAACCACACCACAACCAAGAGAAATTCTCAAGCTCCAGTGCTCTGTTGCATTCTAGGGTACCAGGTATGTTACAACTTTACAACAACAAGGTAATTGCTGTCCCATTTCTATCTCAATATTAGGATAATGTGCATTAAGTCTTACAAGCTTTTTTGACCAATAATACCAAAGGTCTAGGTTGGGGTGCTGCAGCCTCTGGCTAGTTGCTCCCACAGGCAGCTGGCAGTAATACTGGCATCTATGTGGAGAGTGCTGCAGCCTCTAGCTAGTTGCTCCCACAGGCAGCTGGCAGTAATACAGGCATCTATGTGGGGAGTGCTGCAGCCTCTAGCTAGTCGCTCTCACAGGCAGCTGGCAGTAATACAGGCATCTATGCATGGAGTGCTCCAGCCTCTAGCTAGTTGCTTCCACAGGCAGCCGGCAGTAATACAGGCATCTATGTGGGGAGTGCTGCGGCCTCTAGATAGTTGCTTCCACAGGCAGCCTGCAGTAATACAGGCATCTATGTGGGGAGTGCTGCAGCCTCTAGTTAGTTGCACCCACTGGCATATCAATCACTAATTTACAGGTAAATCAACTGAGTTAAAGCCAGGCCTTCTATAAAGCCACTTTACACAGACAACTGGTGACTGAAGTGGCA